TCCCTGACTAAACCATCCCATCATAACTCTTCACTTACTCACTTATTTTAAATAGGCTGAATGCCCGTGAATATATGCGCAAGAAGCTCAACTCAGATGAAAATTCCAATGCCATCATCTCGAGCTCAGAGCTGCCTACAAGTAACCAACAGAACAATAAAAACCTAGGAGGAATACATTTTAGTAATCCATTCAATTCGAGCTTCTCTTTCACCAAGAACATATCTAATGTAAGGATAGATTTGAAATATTACAGTTCTACAGCTAATCTATCCAATTCTATTAGAGACAAAGAATGGATGAATCCTTTCTTGAACCTACCAAATCTGAGTTTGGCAGGCATGATGAGAGTCTAACACAGTTTGAGCTGTCTGAAACCAATTTCAGTAGAGGAAATGTGGTAGATATCCATTCCTCACCTTCAGGATCACCAGTGTAAATACAGTAAGCAAACAACTGCACTCCCTGTTTTATCTATAATAGAGACTGACATGGATGATCCAGCAAGTAATTGGATGACCAAGCTGTTCTTAGGCTTTGGAAAATTCCACTGATTGGAACAGAGTATTTAATCAAACATGGCTGATTGGTCTTATTTAATATTGAGAAATAAATATGTATATGTATATATATTGCTTTCAAAGTTGAGGGTGAATACCATTAAATACAGTATTCCAGACAATAAAAGATTCCAGAAAAAGGAGCAAGAGATGCAAAATTGGCTAACATGAGCAAAATGCAATAGGAATCTGCATACATTCAAAAAACAGGGTACTGATCTACTTATACATACTTTCCTCACATCTTCGGAAGTGTGCCGACTGAATCTCGTCCATTTGGATCTCAAAAACCTGAATAGAAATTCTACTTTACCGATTCCGTATTGAGATCATTTTGCCATTTGCAGGCTTTCTGGGCCGGGTTTTCCGGAAATACACATGAGCGTATCATATATAAGGATTGTGGTTCTAAGAATCCAAGTACTTTCTGCCAATGTCCTCCTTCACTGAGCAGCTCATTCCTTTCTCAGTGAACGATGAAACATTCCAAACCTACTGCAAAGTTTTTGGAGATGTCACTCACAGTCCTAACGGTGCTATCATTATCCTGCACGGTGGTCCTGGAGCTTCACATGATTACTTGCTTCCCACGGCCGATCTTGCCTTGCTTTCGCCTTATAATGCAGTGATTTTCTATGACCAGGTTGGGACGGGTCTTTCAACACATTTACCATCAAAGGACATTTCGTTCTGGACCATCGATCTTTTTATCGGTGAACTCGAAAATATTCTAGCTCATTTTAATCTAACAACCCCGATGTCGTACTATAATATTATAGGACACTCGTGGGGTGCGACTCTTGCTGCTGAATTTATCGTCCGACGGCAACCCAAAGGCCTCCGAAAACTGGTTCTTGCTAATTGTCTAGCAAGTGCGAAACTACGCAATGCTGCCATTGCTGATATACGAAAAACGTTACCTTCCGAAGTCCAAGAAATCCTTCGGCTCCATGAAAAAAACGGAACTACTAAGAGCGTGGAGTATCTTTCAGCAATGGATGTTTTCTGGAAACGACATGGATGCCGATTGAATTCTTGGCCCGAAGAAGTGAAGAAGTCCCTCAAATATTGGCCCGAAAAGGATCCTACGGTTTTGAATTCTATGTACTTATGTCTTTTTGCTGGTCTTGTATTGCATATTGATACTAGATGGAACTATTAGGCGCAAAGGCCCTGAGAACCTTGCTACTGGATGGGACATTACATCTCGCATTTATCTTATGGCGCATATTCCAGTCCTCCTGATTAATGGGGAACACGACTTCATGGCAGACTCTGTTTGCTCGCCATTTTTCTGGGGCATAGAAAAAGTGAAATGGGTGAAATTTTCAAACAGTAGCCACCTTCCGCACTGGGAAGAGCGCGAAAGATTTATGGAGGTAGTGGGAGATTGGTTGAATGCCCTATAAATAGTGTACTTAATGAGATTGTTAGTCATTTATTGAGACGGGCCAATGTCACGAACGACTCTTCATAGAAGTTTCGATCTTCGAAATGTTAGCTCGAATGCCAACAGAAATCATGTTAGCATGGACGAGAATCATATTGGCATGGGTAAAAATCATATTTGCATAGATAAACATATCGAACATAAGTCAAGACAGCTCTAAAAAGCCCATATTTACATAGAGATCCATGACACAAAATCACCATCGAGTCCGACCAAACTTCATACTTACAGCCTGAAGCAATGGCAGCACACGATCCTTTCAATTCCTCATACCAGGCTGCAAGCCGGCTTGATTCGGTGCCCGAACTGTGATATGCGCATCGGGTACATCAGAATTCGCGGGAATAAGGGCTCGAGGAAGTGACACAGTCAAACGAAGTTCTGGTATCCGAATTTGTACATACTGGGACAATTGAACCTTAAGACGAGGAACCGCTGGCGTTGGAATGGAGGGACGAGTAATCGCTGGCATTGGAACGGGGGGACGAGGATTTGCCGGCATGGTAATCTGAGGACGGGGGGGCGCTGGCATTGTAATCTGAGAACGAGAAGACGCTGGCATTGGAACCTGAGGACGAGGGGGCGCTGGCATTATAATCTGGGGAAGAGAAAATCCTGGCATTGGAACCTGAGGACGAGGAAACGCTGGCATTGTAATCTGGGGACGAGGAAACGCTGGCATTGGAATCCGAGGGGGCGCTGGCATTGGAATCTGAGGGCGAGGGGCCATCGGGATAGGACGAAGTCGTGCAGGGACATAACGAGGATCGGCCATAGGTGGTGGAGGACGAGGGGGAGCAGGAACATTTATCATGTTTTGGAGATGCTCGGGAGAAGGAGCGCGAGCTCGGCCAATAAATGTCTTTGGTTTTCCAGTGATGGGTCGCATATTGTTACGAGAGGGGTTGGAAGAACTAGGAGAATTAGTGCGGAGACAAGAAAATTACCAGGGAAATCAACGTTCATCATCAAATGCATTAGACATGGAGAAAAAAGAAACATACCCAACATCCACTCTGCGTTTGAAGCTTTTCGCAGCCTCAATTCTAGCCCTGTGAGCCAAGTATCTCCCGACGACGAATTTATACACTTCGTCCTCGGTCTGAAAGTTGTACTCCCTACGAACAGTTTCAAGAGAACCCTCGACCATGAATGCCTGTCTTTGATAAGGTCTTAACCTTGGGACATTCGCGGTTTGAGTCGGGGGACCCATCGATTGGTGAGGATTGATCACCGCGGTGTTTCCGCTCGGTAAAGGACTATCGAAGGGCATTAGGATTAGATTATGGTCAGTTAGTCTATATTTACATTCATTAACAAACTTGGGTACGTACTGGGGAATGCTGATGTCAACGGGCTCGGTCTTAGGGAATACGGGATTCGACATGATCGGTCGAGTTGTGAATAGGCAAAGTTATGAAGTGTGGAGGGCGAGAAAAAGGCCTGGCCTCGAGTGGTTCACAAGAATTGAGAGAAAGAAATTCAATGAGGACCGAAATATGCGAGTTAGGGTAAGGAACCTCCTGTATATATACCTGCTCGAAGCTTTGAAGGTAACACTGTAAAGCTGAAAATCTGGACCACAAAGAATTGTCCCTTGAGCGCGGTCATTGTGGACGAACAATAAAAGTTTCCGAATTTGGGCTGTCACACGCACAAACGGTACACGGCTGGTTATACGAGACTGTCACATGTGGGCGTGTAGGTCGAGTGTTTACATAGGTGTATCGCGAGGTTCGTTCAACTCTTGGACATGTCGTCATCTTACTGAATTTGGCACAACCTTTGTGAAGTCGAATGTAGTCGAGAAACCAAATGTGGAAACTCGAGTAAATGGAGAAACTCAAGAAACCACATGGAGGAACTCAAGAAACCACATGGAGAGACTCATGAAATCAAATGGAGAGACACAAGTAACCAAATGTAAACCAAATGGAGAAACATAAGTGACCAAATGTAGTCAAAATTCGAGAGACCAAATGTGAACCAAATGGAGAAACACAAGTGACCAATTATAGTCAAAATTCGAGAGAACAAATGTGAACCAAATGGAGAAACACAAGTAACCAAATATAGTCAAAAATTCGAGAGACCAAATGTGAACCAAATGGAGAAACACAAGTAACCAAATGTAGCTAGAAATTCGAGAGACCAAATGTAAACCAAATGGAGAAACTCGAGAAGCCAACTCAATGTCGAAACTCGAGAAACCAAATGTAGAAAACTCAAGTAACCAAATGGAGAAACACAAGAAGCTAGAAACTCGAGAAACCAAACGAAGAAAACTCAAGAAGTCAGATCGAATGTCGAACTCAAGAAACCAAATGTAGAAACTTGAGCTTGAGAAACCAACTCGAGAAACCAAATGTAGGAATTCAGTAACCAAATGTAGTAACCAAACTCAATTACCAAATGTAGAAGCTCAATTACCAAACGGAGAAACTCAAGCCAAAACTCAAGAAACCAAATGGAAAAACTCAAGAAACCAAATGTAGAAACTCGAGAATCCAATTGTCGAGGGTCACTGACTCGGCCCGTTGTGTCAGGTCGTCTCTATTAACTTTGGTTGATTGTCATGTTGTTTGTCTAGGAGAGACTGGGTCGGATCGTACATTCAGACACAGGCTTTGACCTAGCAGTGGCTTGGTCCTTATACCATTGTCCTAGCAGACAATGTGTTCGTTAGTGAAATTTTCAAAGCGTACAACATGCCGCAACAGACCAATTGTTGCAAACTTGGACAATTCCCGTTCAACCACAAACGCAAGTACTTACTGGTACCTTCCCCTGAAGTACTGTGATACTTAGTGCATGATTATAATCGTCGGAAATGTAGCTAAGGGACTTGCGAAGGATTAGCGAGGTAAAACTGAAAGCCAAGTCAAAACCTCCCATGCTTGAAAGAAACATGGACTTACGCGCACGCATGCATATGAGTACTGACAATGTCATGAATTTGAGCAACCCTCGACGTAAGCTCTGCAAAACGAAGGTCTAACCAGGATTCGAACCTGGGTTATGGGAAGATAATTTGTGATATACGATATAATGTGTCAATCAAAATCCCATGTGCTAACCACTACACTATTAGACCTGGTGTCGCTGCTTTCGTGGTTATCACTATAAGACTATGGTCAGTACCGTTGTCCGGATCAACCAGAGTACTCTTTCGCAACACGCCCATCTCTGATCCATACGAGTCTCATTTCTCACTTCACGTGGGTTTGGCCATCATCACCGCCTCCTCTGTCTCCGATTGAATCGATATCGTCTTGTACCGCTTTGGCTGCTTCGCGAATCCAATCAAAATTCAACTTTCGCTATTAATGAATTAGATGCCCGGGCCAGTCTATTGTCCGTCTACACTTGAGCTACGATGTTCCTCGATGCGCTCAACCAGCATTATTCGAGCTGAATCCCTTGGTGATCATTGTCCAGGATAAGCTGCATCCGAGCAACGAACAAACCCATGGCCAGAACAAACCAACCCGTATAGTTCAAGCCTTTTCTCTCTCAAGTATTTAACCAGTCCGTCGATTCTCGCGTCTACAGGCAACCTTTCTTCTAGCCCCCAGATACTTGAAACCTACTATTCAACTTCTTGCTATCGACAAACATGCCCAACAGATATACTGATCACTATAACCGGGTCCAGGAGAGCGGAGCTCCGACTCAACATCCAACTCAAAACTCGAATTTATCGAACCGTTATATGTCCAGTGCACTTCCAGGGTGTGTTTCTTTTGCGTTCAATTCTCGAGCCTTTAAATTTCTATCGTTATCGTCGTGCTCATACTGAAAATATGTTTCATGTTTCATGGTTAGAACGAACCCATTTCTTGCTTCTAATGCGAGGCATCAGACATCTGTACCTTCGTCCGTGGCCCCAATCCACCACCCCCGACCTCAACAATATTACCCCCACGAGACCAGAAACACTTTACAAAACCAAGATCATGGCCCGCACTCGCGACTCGGACACTTCGAGCGTAACTCTTCTTTGGCTACCCGAACAGATACGCCACCTATGGCCGCTATGACTCCACCTCCACCTGGTTGGACCGATGATTTCCCAACCGCCCGAACCAGTAATCATGGACAACACAACGGGTATGTCTCGTCCCTCGTCTGCTTTTTCGTCAGAGTTGATCTCTCAACATTTCATATCCAGTCCCACCCTTCGAGCCCCATTGTCCAGAACCGAACAGGATCGTCATTTTAGGCAAACTCACGGCATTCCAGATGTCAACGTCCCATCCACTGCTCGCAATCACGTTCAGAGACATGATTTACCTTCTATCACTACTTTAGATCGCAACTTGGAACAGATCAGAGCGCATGCGAACAGTGGTAACCGGAATGTCCCTGGTGATAATGAGAGGATGGGTCCAAGGAAAGACTTACTTTTTGGGAAATCAAGTAAATCTGGTGTTGGTAGACAGTGAGCCTCGACTCCGCCGGTTGATTTGCTCGTGCTCCAATGAGATGATCAACAAAAAACGTACTTTAATATCGCCCAAACATCCATTTACCACTTCCCCACATCGGATCGCTCGCATCCTCTTCAGATTCTTTATATTACCTCTGGTTTTTTTATGTATTCTTCCATAGGCTTTTAAGTCCTCCAATAAGTTTGGCATTATCTTGGTCCCGAGAGGCGAAGAAGAGAAAAGGAAAGAAAAGAGATTTTTTCCATCACATACCACCATTCTTTAACCCACTCCAGACGTATGAAGGTGAGAAGATGCGTGTTGATACAATCGTGTTCAAGCTGGTAGAAACACATTAATTCAGAGAACAGCTGTCTCCTTGTGCATACGGAGTCCCGCTCTCAAGCCAAACAGATCATCAATGTCCAACACACGCATCCCTGAGAAACCATCCTGTTCCCAGATATCTGAAGAGCTTCGGGAGTATGGAGAGCCCCTATCTCGATGTTCAATAAGCAATCTGAGAACGTAAGAAGATGTCGCAAGAGAAGGTGACGCTTAGAGTACTCGAGAATTTGAGGTACAAATCTTGAAGTAAACTCGTCCGAGTCTGATTACTTGATTTCGATCAAGGACGGATTAGTGAAACTGTGAAAGATCCATGTGTTAATAATTTCTTTACTCCTCTTTATCTTCCGAGCCCTGAAAACTCGAATCCTTAGAATCTGGTCCTTTGGGGAATGAATATCGGACGTTGAGCATCAAAAGGCAGTGTTCTTTGAAAGGAAGGAAATGCATATACACGTGACTTCCGGCCCTTTTGTCCACGTTGAACCCTGTCTCGCGTTTTTACTACGCGTACCCATCCAAGATGTCCTTTTCTTCGAAGTAAGTCGAAAGCTCAACATTTGTTACAATATTTTCTTAACTATTTTAGCCTATCATCCTTTGGCATGAAGCCGGCCAACACTGCTACCCCTGCGACTGGGACATCTGTCTTCGGCCAACCCGCGAGGCCCGCAGGCACTTCGATTTTTGGGAATACCCAACCCCAACCTCAACCCCAACCCCAACAGCCGACTACATCTCTCTTCGGAAACACGAATAATGCTACTAATCCCAATACAAATTCTCTGTTTGGCGGGAACTCGGGGGGAAGCATGTTCGGACAACAAAATCAACAAAACCAGCAGCAACAACCAGCAGCTGGCTCTAGTTTGTTTGGACAACCCAATCAACAACAACCACAACAACAACAACAGCCAGCGACGGGAACTGGTCCCGGCTTGTTCGGACAACCGGCTCAGCAACAACAAGGCACGAGTCTGTTTGGTCAACCTGCTCAACAGCAGCCAAACACCGGCGCAGGCGGCGGGGGCACGGGCTTGTTTGGGCAGAATAATACCGGTGGAACGAATTTGTTTGGTCAACCGACCCAACAGCAACAACAAACATCGACAGGGACTGGGCTGTTTGGTCAGCAGCAGCCTGCGACAGGGACAGGTGCCTTTGGGCAGCAACCGGCGGGGGGTACAGGATTATTTGGGCAGTCTCAACAACAACAACCTGCTATGGGGACAGGTCTGTTTGGCCAGCAACCTCAACAACAGCAGCAGCAGCAGCCGGGTATGTTTGGTGGTGGTGGAACCTCCCTTTTCGGCAACAATAACGCGTCTACAACGAACACGGGTGGCGGTCTTTTTGGATCTACAAATAATGCGGCAGGTGCAAGCACTTTTGGTGGGGGCATGTTTGGGCAAAGGCCAGCGCAGTCAACGTGAGCTACATGGTCTCTTCTGGACAAACATATATTGACCACTAACCTTGTTTTTAGATTAGGGCAAGTAGCATTGCGATTTCTTTTCTGGGTACAATTGAATGAAGCTTTACCAATAGTGTGTCCACAGCTCCTCAACAAGCTACCGGGCCCCCGCCATTCACAAAAACCACGAAGTTTAATGACCTTCCGGACGAACTTAAACGCGGCCTTGAACAAATTGAGTATGTTGACTAGCCACTCAAGTCATATCATCCTCTCATCTTAGTTTTCAGTACTCACATCCAAGGTCGGATACAGATCAGTAAAGATTTGCATCAAAGGAAGCTAGGTGAAGAGCCAACTAAGGGCCAAGAACTGATACGTTCTGTTCACAAAGTTTGTCCTTTTTTTACTTGAATTTTTATTATGACGGTCGCTGATCAATTTTGAACATTCCGTCAGGAGCTCGCACAAACGGGTACAACGATCCGGAATGACCTTCACTTCACTCGAGATCTCAAGGCAAAAGCAGACCAAGCCGTCCAAGATACGATCATCGCTACACGCATCGTTGACGGCTTTAGGAATTCGCAAAATAGCGCGTATCTGAAAGATCACGCTAGTTTCCCCTTGGAGTGAGTTCAGGGCTGTACATTGTTGTGTCTGGAAAGCTCATCATTTCCGTGACTGCAGGTTCTTTACAAGAGTGACTACTCAGATACGAGAGAGGCTTGTTTGGTATAAACAAACGATTGATGTATGTGATCACACTATGTTTGTCCAACGCGACAAGTTTCTGATGCGTACTCTTGCCTTCAGCAAATAGAGCGAAAGCTGGCATCCATGACCAATCAGACACACATAACACCTCAAGGTTTGTTCTTCACTGCCTCTGCGATCTGTTCTTGACATTAAATCGCTTCCTGTAATACTAGCCATTACTGCCACTCTTCAGGCCCAGCATACGACCTTCCTTTCCCTTGCTTCCAAAACCGCTGCCCTGGATGCGGAACTACAGAAGATCAAAACGTTGTACACTCAACTCTGGCGAGCAAGAACAGGAAGCGTCAGGGATCCATTCGAGGGGAATGTTGATGATGATGGAACTGGAGGACCTGCTGGTTTGGGTATGAGTATGAGTGGGTTGAGCGTCGGGTCCTGAGTTAGTGTATCAAATACTGGGGATGATATGGTCAGGACAATGTTGGGTGGATGTGGAAAGGATAAGTACAAATGTCGTTGGTTCTCGCTTGTTCTCGGGCAATTCGACTAGTTTCTGATTATATCCTCGTTGTCCAAGTTGGAAATACATCCATAATTGGTCTGGGCACTACAATCATCAGTGACTCGCTGCACCCGTCTATTACTACTCATAACGAACTCATGCGTTACCGGTCGCAAAGTCCACACGTAATTGTGGAAGCTAGGATGCAGCTTCAATTTAAATGGCAAGAGAAGTATGGTGGAATCGCGATTTAAGGGGCCTTGCCTGGTCTGCGTTGTTGACCGGATATCCGTCTTTTCAGAGGCTAGTTGTGAAGACTACCGGGAAGACCGTCTTCTTTTCCCTGACCCAAAAGCGATTCAGCCTCTGGGTATAAATGGCCAAAGACTAAAGAAAGAAGACCAACGAGTTCCATAGTTCCTAGAAAACCTATTGCGTTCGTTGAAGGTTTGTATCGCGACTTTCGCGTTGGATTGAGGACGTACGACCATGAAATTTTCACCAGGTTTCGGTGTTCCGAAAACGAAAGCACTTTTATCGTGCTTTCACAGCTGCTAGCTCGATAAGAACAAGTAAAATAGCAGGGGGACCTTCTCCTCTTGGTGTTCGTTTTCTTGTATAGGCTGGCGATTTGACGTTCCAGGCACTGCTAACGGAAATGATCAGCAATTTTGAGTTCT